TCTGTGAAATGCGCCACTTCCGGTATTTTGCCGGTTAGTCGACGCGAGCAAAATGAAGTCGAGGATTAAAAAAAATCGAATAGTCGAATAAAATCGACGAATCGCGACAGCCCTAAAAATTTCAAAAAATGTGCATAATCCACAAAGATGGCTGTTGATTGATTTTGTAACTGGCATTAGGCGGAAAGCTGTTAATTTAAAATAATATATATATATATTTAAAATAATATGAATAATATAATAAATAATAATATAAATTATATATTTATATGTATATATATATGTGTGTGTGTGTGTTGTAAAATCAAAATATTGAGAAAATCGCCTTTAAAGTTGTCCAAATGAAGTTCTTAGCAATGCATATTACTAATCAAAAATTACGTTTTTTATATATTTACAGTAGGAAATTTACAAAATAACTTCATGGAACATGATCTTTACTTAATATCCTAATGATTTTTGGCATAAAAGAAAAATCAATAATTTTGATCCATACAATGTATTTTTGGCTATTGCTACAAATATACCCCAGCGACTTAAGACTGGATATATATATATAAAATATGCATTGCATGTAAATACATTCATATAAACAAATTTTAATGATTACAAATGATATGTTTTAAAATGTTAAGTTGTTCTTAATATAATATATTTGTTTATTTAAAATGTAAATTATTATTTATATAATGCCATTTAGTGATTACAAATTATATTTTGTATTTTTTGTAAATGTAATAATTATTAAATATTTGCTATGTATTTATGTAATATAATTTATAATTGGTATAGTATAGTATTTATTAATATTCATTAAATATTATAAATGTGCTGCTGTCAATAAATAATAGTAATAATGCACTTAATAAGCTTTATATTACATAAATGAATACATTACATTATTTAAATTTAAAATATAAAAAATAGTTTGCAATCATTCAGTTGTGCATATCATTGCAAAATTTATTTTATCTAATGCAATAACATATCAACAATTGCCCTTTTGGCTGTTAAATATCAGCATCAGCCATTGATTGAAAAACCTACAATGATCTGCCACTAGTTTCAATTCATATTGATTTTAGTAATCTCTCCTTCAGAGCTTCTGTTTGATCACCCGACTGGTTCAGTTGGTTGAATGAGGCTCTTTTGGTGCTTCATTTGAAACAAACCCCTCATTCTTTGACACACACACACAGAGACGGGCAGAGTCCCACATACTGATCACAACTCTCTGAAGAGCCATTTAGAGACACCGCCACACTCTTCCTTTTGCGTTCTGTCGTTCTTTCCTTTCCTCCCTCCCTCCATGACCTCCTGGAGACAAAGCAGCATCTCATCCCTCTTTTTCTCTCTGACCTAATGGCCACTGATCTCACTACATAAGACAGAAACAGAGGAAAGACTGGTAAGCAAGAGGGAGGACCCAGCCTGTTTGCTCAAAGAACGACAAACAAATCATCCGTTCCTGGATTAATGAATGTGAATGATCTAGTTAAGAGCATCCAAACAGCAGTGTTTGAGTGCAATAGTCAGTGTTATGCTCCTGTGTGCACACGTGGTGGAGAGGGCGGTTTTAGATGCGTCTGATCTGGATTAAGAAGTGGTTTCTCTCTGGATTCAAGTGATTACCACCGTCAGCCAGAAGCTGCAGAAGATGTTCTGTTGTTACTGACTAGTGTTCAGACACGTGTGTATTCTGGAGTCTGGTCTCCTGCTTTGCTCCTGATGTGTGTGTGCAGCGGACTGTCATCCTAATGAGTCTGTTAAGTTCATACTACTGTCTGAAGTCTGTGTATGATGGCTATGAATCCCTACAGCTCCTGGAGCAGAACGGAGGGTTCGGGAACAGCACACAGCTTCCCTCGCAGATCAACAACTTACACAATGCTGGTGAGTTCTGCATTCAAACTCGTTTTTTGGCAAGCCATTTTCATCGTAGTAGATGTGTAGCTTCCTTTTATTCAAATATGTCACACTTCCTTTGTAATTGTTATGACCTGTTCTCTGGACAGATGTCACGCTTTTACAAACATATTGTAAAGGTTAACAGGCTAGTGGAGAAGACTGTGCTTTTGGATCTTATCTTGTCGTGGGATCTGTTGATGCACTGACATCTTTTGTTTACATGCATTACGTTTGGAAGTTTCTCTTTGTTTTCTGGTGCCATTTACATTTTCAGTTCTGTAACATGCACATAGTTATTTTAGATAGTTGTTTTTTGTTTGTTTATTAATGTTTGTTTTAGTCAAATTTTTAGTTTCAGCTATCCTTGTTAGTTATAATTGTTTGGTTAGTTATTTTGAATGTTTGGTTTGTTAGTTGTTTGTTTGTTAGTTATTTAGTACTTCTTGTTTGTTTCTTTAGTTAGTCTTATTGTTTGTATGTTTTACAAGGCATGAAAATCCAATAAAACTGAGAAGAGCGAAAAATGCTGCTTGTTTACCGAGTAGTAAATATCTGTCAAAGTTTTGATGGCATGAATCTCAGAAACTTTGGCATTTTAGAGTGAAGTAACCCCTAGATCTAATCATTTGGGTTGTAAAGAACAGTTCTTTGTGTTATGAGATGGTTGTGAGTCATTGCATAGAGACATTTCTTGTGTGCATATGTCAAATATATTCATCAAAGCTGTTGTCCTGTAAAAGCTCTTTTGACAAGCGTTGTTTGAATCTCCAGGTGTGTATGACACAGACCCGGCCATGGGTGGAGGCTTCCTGGATATTCTGAAAGGAGGAACCGAAAGATTCCTGACCAACATCAAAGACACTTCCTCCAAAGTCATCCAGTCGGTGGCCAGGTGAGCGATGCATTCAGTCTGCAGTAAAACACCCCTGCTGCTGTCCCATATAAACTAGTGCACATGCCTTGCTCGAGTGTGTTTTGTCTTGCCTTGGTTTCGTTATGATGCTTCTCTTTCCGCTGAGCCATTGACAGATTCAGCCGAATGGCGGAAGAGGACGTAGTGGTGGATAGAGTACTAGTTATCTGCTGGCGGTTAATCTGATATCACTTAATCTAGCTCACAAACAATGCCACCCACTGCTGTCTTTGAGAATGTTTTCCAAAGTCTCTATTCCTAGTATAAATAGATTAATAGAATAATTATACTAGCTTCCTTTCAGCAAATTCTGCAGTAGCATTACATGTATTCTTCACAGAGGGTGTGCATTGTGGTGAAAACATCCATTCAAGATGGAGGACTAAGCAAGAGAATTCTTGATTTATAAATATATTTAGTTTAATTTCAAAATTATAATATATAATAATGTATAATATAATAATTAAATGAAGAGTATTTTACCCAAAAATTGCACTACATGTATTTGTATATCTCAAATCATTAGTATTATGACATACTATTATAGTAGTTTTTAATATTTTGAATTAGCTTTTGTTTTTATATCTTCAACTTTCATTTTAATTTTAGTTTAACTTTTACTAATTTTGGTAATTGTCTTTTAAAAAAAATCCTATTTAGCTTTTTTAAAATTTGTGTCTCTTGTCATTTTTTTATATTTTTAGTTTTAATTTTAGACATTTTATGTCTTTTGTCATTATCAATTTTTAAATATTCCTAATTTTAGTTTTAATTTTAGTAGGGGTGCTCCGATTGATCGGCTACCGATCACTATCGGCCGATAATCGCTCTGGAAAGTTTGATCGGCGGTCTCTATAAAGGCCGATATCAAAAACCGATCTCAAGCTGATGACACACCTGCTGTGAGAGGTTCAGCATGACATGCAGCGGCACCATCTCTGTTCACACATACTCTTGCTTATATTTATTGCGTTTAAACACGTCTATGAAAGATTGTATTACTGTACTGCGTAAAAAGAGAATCACAATGCTCAAAAAGCATTTTCAGTAACAACGTTTGGATTTGAAATCAAAATGGATAAATGTTTTGTTTGTGGTAAACAGCCGCGGATCAGGAGCGGACCTCTGTATGAAAGCAGAATGAGTCCGTGCTGCTTCTGCGACGCTTATGTACCGCACATTGACTGCATACGCACTGCAGACGGTGTATGCTTGTCCCATTATAAAAACAAAAATGCACTGCATGATCAAACATTTAGATGAGATAATTATATGTATTTTTAAAAATTGTCAAAAAAATGCCCCCCTCCACCCCTCAAATTAAACCCCCCACCCACAAGAGTCACCTTAGAGGGGAATTCCCCCCATTTTCCAAAATGAAATTCAGGCCCTGAATGAATGTCTGTAAAAATTCTGTCTGGAGCATCACTATAAATAATTCTACATTATAAAAAGAAAGCTTCAAAAAGATCGGTATCGGTGATGGGTATCGGCAGATACTGCTTCCTGTCATCGACAATCGGTGATCGGCCCAAAAAATTCTGATCGGAGCACCCTTACATTTTAGTAATTTTGTTATGTCTTTTGTCATTATTATTTTTTAAATATTCCTATTTAGCTTTAATTGTTTTTTTTTAAATATATATATTAATATTTTATGATTAATAATATTAGTTTTAATATTAGTTAACGTTTTTGTCATTTTATGTATTTTGTCATTTTTTATGTATTTATTTATTTATTAATTTTCCTATTTAGCTTTTCATTTATGTTTTTAAGTTTTAGTAATTTAGGTCATTTTAGTTCTTATTTTATTTCAGCTCTATTTCATTTAACAGAACTTTGATCGTTTTAATTTTAGTTACCAATAACAACACTGACTCAAATATAAAAAATAAAAGCAAAAAAATAAATGACAGTATACTACCTCATTATAATGCATGCTGCACAATTATTCCTGAACGTGTGAGTCATGATATCCTCTTTAACGAATAATTGTCTCATATGAAGCATTTCTTTTTAATGAGTTAGCCTGGGGCATTTTAATGTAGAATAACATATGCTTATGCATCATACGCAAAACAAAGGACATTTATAAAATTAAATGGGGTCAATTCTGAGTCCATGTTGATTCGATCATGATTATCGTCATAATAAGGTAAATTTGATCTGTCTGGACGTTAATTTCTTGGTAAACTCAATCAGGGTTTTGTTTATGACACACACTGATCTACCAGATCATAAATTCCCCTCCACTCCCCTTCCATAATCTGTTTGCAATCATTAATCATGTTTAATAATTATCCCCCTCAACGTCTCCACAAGTCTGTCATGTTTATTTTCTCCTCAGTTGGCCCATTTTTGCTTTCCATTTGTTTATGTTCATTGTCTTGTTTTGTTCATTTTGTTCCTGAATCATGTCTCTCGGTCCCAAATCGCCAACCCCTTGCAGCTCCAGGTAACTATGGGACAGCGCCTGTGTGTCTATGTTTTTGCGTTACACGTGTGTACTGTATGTGTAGAGATGGTGTGTGAACTTCACTTCACCTTCATCTCAATGCTTTGTTCGCTGTTTGTTCATAACCACAGTCTGAGTCTGCTCCCATCAGCACAGCATTACCCTGATCAGTAGAGTTTCTTGAAAGTTTAAACAGCTGCCTACTAAATACATGTGTGAGTGCTGCTCCTCAAATAACTTTAAAGGAATAGTTCACTATATTCAATGATATATCACACAGTATTCCAAGCCTTCTATATAAATAAATAGTGACTAAAGTTGCATTTATTTAATCAAAAATACAGTAAAAAACAGTAATATTGTGAAATATTATTACAATTTAAATTAACTTTCTATTTTCTATTTGAATCTTTTAAATGTATTTATTAATTTATTCCTGTGATGCAAAGATGAATTTTCAGCATCATTACTCCAGTCTTCAGTGTAACATGATCCTTCAGAAATCATTCTAATTTTCTAAAAAAAAATTAATAAAAATAAAACAAAATTTTACTGACCCAAACTTTTGAACAATAGTGTACATAACAGAAGGAATATAAGTAAGTCAGTTTTAGTTTTTGAGTGAACTATTCCTTTAAGTTTAGTCTTTGCCTTTTTAGACCCAGATTTCTAACAGAGTTTGTAATAAAGTTTGTTGAGTTTTGATACAAGCAGTTACTCTTTTTCTTGTCGACAGGTTTTCCGTCGAGGTTTATCTTGTAATCTAGATGTTCTTTTAGTTCTTGCATTCATACATCTAAACATGTGTCCTGTCCTGTCTCAGTTATGCTAAGGGAGACCTGGACCTGTCCTACATCACCTCCAGACTAGCAGGTACAGTCACCTGTGTATTACAGCTTTCAGATTCATTTTGGATGTCTTAACTCTAATGTAATGGTGTTAAAGTTATTTACCTGTCTATTTGTGTTTTTGCAGTCATGTCTTTCCCAGCTGAAGGTGTTGAATCTGCAATTAAGAATAACATTGAGGACGTGCGTCTGTTCCTGGATTCTCGACACGCGGGTCATTATGCAGTATACAACCTCTCCAAACGCTCCTACAGACCGGCCAGGTTTCACAACAGGGTGAGAGTGGACAGCAAAGCATTTGATTGCAATGATTGCAAATGACTAACAGATTACAGGGATCTAAATTGATGTCTTATCCTAATATCATAAATCCTGTGTTGTTATTGTTAACTAAAACTAATTTAAAGGGTTACTCCACCCCAAAATGAAAATTTTGTCATTAATCACTTACCCCCATGTCGTTCCAAACCCGTAAAAGCTTCGTTCGTCTTCGACACACACACACTCACACACACATGGCCCTTTTCCAACAATGTTACTATTAGTGCTGTCAATCGATTAAAAAAAAATTAACTAATTAATAACACATTTTTTCTTAAATTAATCGCGATTAAATATTTTTAATGCCGTTAAAGTGAAAACAATTAATCACATGCATTAACGTGCCTACAAACAAACATATTACACTGTGGCCTTTGTTGACAAGTCATAATCTCATTTTCGATAACTTATTTTAACTTCCCAATTCATTTAATTCAGCATATTCAGAAGAAAAATTATGTTTGGGTATCCTAGTGTGTCCTGTCATCTTCATATTGTGGCTGTGTGTTTTTGCAGGATGGACGGGCAGCGTCGGCTGTGGTGGTTTGTGCATTCCTCTGTTTCTGTCGTCTGTTCTCTACGGCCGAGGCTGCAGTTTACATGTTCAGCATGAAGCGATGCCCACCGGGCATCTCGCCCTCACACAAACGGTAACTTCCTCGTGTGCCACGTGACCGTGTAATCGCAGCCTCTGCGATTGAAAAATCGCGTTTTTTCATATCGCGATATTATCGCAAATTCAATTAATCGTTCAGCCCTACTTCCTGTCTTTTTCTCACTCTGTTCCTTTGAATTAAGAAGTACTGCACACCAAAATGTCAGGGCAGGTTGTTTTAGAACCGAAATCGACGCTCTGTGGATTAATTCAGTAGCTCAGGTGCATGAACATGAGCAGTGAGCCACAGGTGTGACGGTTCTTTGGTGTTGAGGTCACTTCCTGCCACAGCTGTTCTTTGGCTTGCCAAGAGCTTCTGCCGAACTTCGCAAGCTCATGGGACTCTTTTGATTCTAACCAAGTGTGAATGTGTGTGGTTACTGGAGCTGATAACAGTGACTTTGTCAGCTAAATGTAAAGGAAGTGACATAACCTCGAACAGAATGTTTAGTTCTGCTGCTCACCAGAACACAAGAGTGTTGAGCTGCATTTAAAGGAATGTTCCGGGCAGTGTTACTTTAGTATTTTTATATACTATTATAGTGTTTATTAATATTTTGAATTTGCTTTTACTATTATATTTTCAATTTTAATTTTATAATGTGCTTTTGTCGTTTTATTAGGTTTTTTTTTAACGTTTCTATTTAGCTTAAATTAATTTTTTTATTACTTTTAGTTTCAGTAATTTTAGTATTTCAGCTTTAGCTTATTTATTTCAGTTAGCTGCCAATGAAAACATTCTAATTTTGTTTCATTTAATCTGTATATTTATTTTACTTCAACTTTATTTCAATTAACAAAAATTATTTTTTAATAGTTTTAGCTTTAGTTAACAGTAACTAGTAGGGCTGGGTATCGATTCAGATGTAAAGATTCGATTTGATTCCGATTCACAAGCTTTCGATTCGGTTTGATACTTAATTCGTTTCTCGATTCGATGAATATAGATTTAATACCAATGCTATTGATATTTATAAAACTGAACGATGAACATCAGTTTACAAATGGCAAATTAATGAAAAGAAATTAAGAGCCACAGACTTGTTTTTTAAACTCTATTTCAGGCACACATTAAACAACCCTCTACATTGCGAGTAAATCACTCGCATATGCGACTAAATCTTCACTCTGGGTGACTAAATGATGTCTATCGTTAGCCATTGGCTAATAAATTCTTAGATTTTACTCGCCAGTGTGTGAGTTGGAGGCCAAGTATAAGTTTAGCACAGATATATTTTCACTCGCTGAACACTGACTGAGCGCTTGAGAGTTGCACTCCATCAAGCGATTCTGTGCTATTTATCTCAATGGATGCGCAGCGTACCTGTATTTGACGTACTGTAAACTCTAGTGTGAAGGCGCGCGACTCGCCGTCGCTTTGCTAAGAGCGTTGTGTTTCTCACACATGCAAAGAGAGAGAGCGAGAGTCTTATATACCATGCTGAATTGACGCGCTACATGTAAACCATATTCTTTGTTGTATTTTTCTCTTCTTCGAGAGTTAATTTAGAATTATTCAGCTTTTAAGAACAAGCACAAGATATGCCGGATTCTCAGGTAGTGGGCGGAGCTAATGCGCGAACGGCAATCTCATTGGCTGGCGCTTATTTATTACCGACCCTGTTTGGAAGCCATCGTTGGAGTGAACGCTGACAATGTGATTAATATTCATGAACCCAGCAGCTCATCGATCCTTAGTGCGATGTATATTGTTATTAGCAGTAGAATTAGTAGTAGTATTATCTGTTAATAATTTGTACCATTATAAGATACAGCTAAGATTTAAGAAGCTGTGCCATTTAACAAAGATAAGCTGATATGTTGAAATCATGTCAATATATCAGTGCTGGGATGCAATTAATCGTGATCACGGCTTTTGAGAATCGATATCGAATCGACCATAGTTTAAAAAACGATTAATCGAAAAATCTAATTTTTTGCCCAGCCCTAGTAACCAGGTTATTGTTTACTAAAACTGAAACCATAAAGAAATAGTTTCATTACTTGAAATAAAATAAACATTAACTAAAATAAAATAAAATATTTCAGCTAGTTGCTAAAGTAACCTTTTTCTTTTTTGTTTAGAATAATAGGAAGTAATAAAATAACTAAAAACTAAAACTTGATAAAAACTGTACAGACATATTTAACAAAAAACAAATGACAAACACAAAACTAAATTACTAAAACTTTAAAATTCAAATGAGAACAGAAAATATAAAAATAAAATCTAATTCAAAACATTTACAAAAACTATATCAATGATATAACACTGACTATAACACAGGTTCTAATGCACTTACAGTAGAAATAGGGCTGGGCGATATAGCCCAAAAAATTATCTTGATAAAATTTTTCATATCAGTCGATATCGATAATTATCACGATAAATTTCAAATCTTTATTTCCTTCAAGTTTAAAGGCAGATTTTTGCTCCCAAGTGAAAGTTGTTGAAACCAGACTACCAGAAACCAGTTAATTGTGGTTTAAACTACTCTTTATGGTCAGAAAGTGGCAAATACTTCGTTTTTGAATTCTTTACACTTTTCCAGCCATTCTTCCTTAAAATAAATATCTTCACAGAAAAATGTATTTCTTAGTTTCTGCATTTCCTAATAAGTGTTATTGTTTCAAATCATGAAACAGTTTTGTGTTGCCTGACTTTAATGACGCGTATCTTCAGCACAGTTTGCAGTGCATGCTGCAATATTAATAATATTAAATTGGTGTCTCTTAGAAATGCACATTTGACAGTAGCTTGAGTTGACAGTAGTAGTAGCTTGAGTTAGGATGCAGATGTAAATTTATGTTCATTACCAAAAAATTGTAACAACATAATTTTTATATGGTGAAATTTAATTACTCTGACTGTTTGAGTTGTATTAAAATTAACCATTAGACTACCAAAGGATTGCCTCAAGACTTAGTCATTATATATGTGTTAATTTCTTAACTTATACGATCATGACTCCTGTCATAATCGTATAAAGCTGGTAAACCTTGTGACTTGCATAATACATGCGAAAATAGACCAGCTTTATAGAAAAAAGCCCAAACAATCACCTCAGTAATGCATAAAAGGACAAAAAAAACTTTGCAGCACATATCTCACGTTATGATATCTCCTGATGTGTGAAATGTGCTTGTGAGGATGTGGGGTTCATGGCAAAGATCGTAGTGATCTCAGTTTACACCGTTCATGAGAATGAGGTCAGGCATTTCATTCCAGAGCGTAGATGTTAGATGATGAACCATGATGATTTTGCAGGTTGTCAATGGTGCTTGCTAATCAATCAATATTATTACAGTGTAAAATTTCACTATTGCCTTTTAAAAGCCCTTTTTTTTTCGAACCCCTGGTGTATTAAAGTCTTTTGAAATAAGGTGATTTGCATATAGAAAAGTGCAGTAACAGCCTGTTTAATTCAAAGGGTCAGAGAAGAGGGGGGAAAATGGGCATGTAAAACTAAATCACTGTTTTTGGTACAAGAAACTTTGACTAACGTCTAAAGCAAAGCAACCGCACATGAAAAAAGTCTTGAGGATAGCCTCGTAAATTTGGGTTCGGCTCGAGATCAAAATGTGTAGTTTAGCTGTAGATGTACAGTCGTGGTCAGAATTATTGGCACCCTTGGTAAATGTGATCAAAGAAGGCTGTAAAAATAAATCTGCATTGTTAATCATTTTGATCTTTTATTTAAAAAAATTAACATACATCAAACCTTTCATTGAACTAAAACTAATGAAAATGGGGGAAAATCTCATTATGAAATAAATGTTTTTCTCAAATACACGTTGGACTCAATTATTGGCACCCCTAGAAATTAGTATATTCCCATTCATATTTACAATTTTGAGCATACCAGGGTGATTATGAACATGAAATTATCCAGCCATGGCTTCCTGTTTCACAGGAATATAAATAGGAGGGAAAACAAAGGCCAAATTCCCTTAATCATCCATC